ACAAAAATAGCCATTTTGTTTCAACACACTCTGTGTCTTATCAAGTGATGATTTTGAAAATAAAATAAATGGTTTTAAAAGTTTCAGATTAATTAACGATCCTACACTCGGGGGAAACATTGTTACAAAAGCTAGAATAACCAATCAAAAACGAAGTATAGAAAGATTCAAAAGCTTGACAACGAAATCATGCTATAATAGCTTTCCCGATCTTTAAATACGTGTAATATTAAAAATAATTTATACTAACTAATAATTATAAAATTATATGATAAAATTTAATATTAAAATTAAAAACTGGCAATTTTAAAATCCAAATTTAATCACTATTAAGTTTAAAAACTACAAAATTATTGAGAAAAGAAAAAATATATATGTTTATTCAATTCATTTCTTCATTGAAATTACGTTATACAAGACGCTACAATACATCCGGTCATTTGACAATACATGTATATATTTCTTTCTTTTTCCCTTTCTTTTCCGTTTTTATTTTAAACTCACGCGTAAAACCACAAAAACACAATCAGATTATAATACATAAGCACCCAGACATAATTAGATACACACACACACACACACACACACACACACACACACACAAAAAAAAAAAAAAAAAAAAAAAGAAGGTGGGGGGGATACATGAACATCTCTACAGCCCTTTATGAAAAAAGGAGACGTGGAAACTAACACTTATACACACACACAGTTAAATGTGAATACACTTTACATACACATAGACACCGATAGATACACACACATACATCCATATACAATGACATAGACAATGAGAAATCACAACCAATAAATATTTCAGACTTAAATAAATGCTAACTACTTATTGAATTATAACTTAAGGGAGCAAATATACAAAGATAAAAATGGTTAAAAATAATATTATTTAATATATTAAAACGAAAATTCTAAAACCATAAATATCAATAAAAATATATATTAATCATATAAGTTGATAATAGTTTCATTATATATTAGGCAAAGAAAAACAGGATAAAGAAACCCACAGATATATACATATATATATATATATATATATATATATAGCAAAAAAAAAATAAACACACATAAATATACACTCATACATACATATACATACAGAAATACATACAAATAAATATATAAACATAAACATATACGCACATATACATATCTATGATAACAAGTACACATGCACGCACATATACATATAAATCTAAATACACACACATATATACACAAAGACTTTTGTGTACACATACTTACATATATAAAAACAGTCATGATATACCAAAGTTTTTATACTCACACATACACACAAACAAACTCATACATAATAGGTGTCAACACACACACATATATATACACAAACATACATAAATATATATACATACATACATACATACATACATACATATCTACAAATAAACATATATATAAAAATATATCTATCTACAATAACAACTACCCATATATACATGCATACATAAAAATACAACAACACTCAACCAAATACATATATAAATAAACGTACTAACATATAGATATATAAATATACCTTCAAATACCAACACACAGCAATATACATATAGTCTAACATACAAATATATAAACACATTCATACAAACAGAAATATACTTAAATATAAATACACATACTCAATAAAATAGGACATACAGATATATACATATATGCACACACAGATATATATATATATATATATACATACACATACATACACCCATACATATACACATACATATATATATATACAAATATATCGTGGCACAAAGTCGAAATTATGAGGCACCCAGTGAGGAACGAACTCATTACTCAGTCGCAACTAATCTAGCGAACCATGCTGGCCAACCATTATACCGCCGTGATTTTATCATACATATATATATACACATTCATACACATACACCTACATACATACATATGCACACATACATACACTTATATATGCATATGCACAACCACACACACACACACATACATATACATAAATACATACATACATATACACATACACACACAAATACATACCTATACACACACCCATACACACATACATATATAGGCACACATATACACATATACAGCAACAATTATTAACCTTTTCTCTTATAATCTACCATACCTTCCCACATAATATATATATACATATACACTCACATATATATACATACACACACACCCCACACACACACCCTACACACACACACATATATATGAAAAAAACAAAAAAAAAACGTAAAAAAACATAAATATATATATATATATAAATAATATATATAGAAAACGAATAATCATATGGCACAATCGGTATATACATTCATGTACATGTAAAATCCGTGATATTGAAATAATATAAGTATCACTGTTCTCAATTTAGACGAATATTTCTGTTTAAGCCTCACGGGTATCGTTGATTTACATATATATGTAAATAACATATATAGAAAACGTATAATCATGTAGCACAATCGCTATATACATTCATGTACATGTAAAATTCATGATATTGAAATAATATAAGTACCACTGTTCTCAATTTCTGCGAATATTTCTGTTTAAGCCCCACAGGTATCGTTGATTTACATATATATATAAATAACATATACAAAAAACGAATAATCATATGGCACAATCGGTATATACTTTCATGTACATGTAAAATCCATGATATTGAAATAATATAAGTAGCACTGTTCTCAATTTCTACGAATATTTCTGTTTAAGCCTCACAGGTATCGTTTATTTACTCTCTCACACACAGACACACACACACACACACACACATATATATATATATAAATAAATAACATATACAGAAAACGAATAATCATATGGCACAATCGTTATATACTTTCATGTACATGTAAAATCAATGATATTGAAATAATATAAGTATCACTGTTGTCCGTTTCTACGAATATTTCTGTTTAAGCGTTACGGGTATCGTTGATTTACATATATATATAAATAACATATACAGAAAACGAATAATCATATGGCACAATCGGCACATACTTTCATTTACATGTAAAATCCATGATATTGAAATAATATAAGTATCACTGTTCTCAATTTCTAAGTATATTTCTGCTTAAGCCTCACAGGTATCGTTTTTTTACTGACACACACACACACACACACACACACACACACACACACACACACACACACACACACACACACACACACACACACACACACACACTCATATATATATAAATAAATAACATATACAGAAAACGAATAATCATATGGCACAATCTGCATATACATTCATGTACTTGTAAAATCCATGACATTGAAATAATATAAGTATCACTGTTCTCAATTTCTACGAATATTTCTGTTTAAGCCTCACGGGTATCGTTGATTTACATATATATATAAATAACTTATACAGAAAACGAATAATCATATGTCACAATCGGTATATACATTCATGTACTTGTAAAATCCTTGATATTGAAATAATATAAGTATCACTGTTCTCAATTTCTACGAATATTTCTGTTTAAACCTCACGGGTATCGTTGATTTACATATATATATAAATAACATATACAGAAAACGAATAATCATATGGCACTATCGGTATATACTTTCATGTACATGTAAAATCCATGATATTAAAATAATATAAGTAGCACTGTTCTCAATTTCTACGAATATTTCTGTTTCAGCCTCACGGGTATCGTTGATTTACATATATATATAAATAAAATATACAGAAAAAACGAATAATCATATATGGCACAATCGGTATATACTTTCATGTACATGTAAAATCCATGATATTGAAATAATATAAGTATCACTGTTCTCAATTTCTACGAATATTTCAGTTTAAGCCTCACGGGTATCGTTGATTTACATATATATATAAATAACATATACAGAAAACGAATAATCATATGTCACAGTCGGTATATACATTCATGTAACTGTAAAATCCATGACATTGAAATAATATAAGTATCACTGTTCTCAATTTCTACGAATATTTCTGTTTAAACCTCACGGGTATCGTTGATTTACATATATATATATAAATAACATATACAGAAAACGAATAATCATATGGCACAATCGGTATATACTTTCATGTACATGTAAAATCCCTGATATTGAAATAATATAAGTATCACTGTTCTCAATTTCTACGAATATTTCTGTTTAAGCCTCACGGGTATCGTTGATTTACATATATATATAAATAACATATACAGAAAACGAATAATCATATGTCACAGTCGGTATATACATTCATGTACTTGTAAAATCCATGACATTGAAATAATATAAGTATCACTGTTCTCAATTTCTACGAATATTTCTGTTTAAACCTCACGGGTATCGTTGATTTACATATATATATATAAATAACATATACAGAAAACGAATAATCATATGGCACAATCGGTATATACTTTCATGTACATGTAAAATCCCTGATATTGAAATAATATAAGTATCACTGTTCTCAATTTCTACGAATATTTCTGTTTAAGCCTCACGGGTATCGTTGATTTACATATATATATAAATAACATATACAGAAAACGAATAATCATATGGCACAATCGGTATATACTTTCATGTACATGTAAAATCCATGATATTGAAACGATATTAGTGTTGCGTTAAACTTTTTGCGAAAAGGAAACTAAAAGATTTAATTGGGTTTTCACGCTAGGACTTATCTCACACACAATCTTATATCTGTCCAAATTGACATTAGTAAATGTTTTCGAATTTTCCCCCGATATTTAATTTGAATCCTGGGAATCAAATCCCTTTACATGTTTTTTTCATTGTTGGGGTCATAAGCTCATTTGTTGTGATCCCAAGTTCGAATCACATAAGCCATTTAATTCTACTTCGCTTTTTTTTCTTGAAGAATTTGACTCTGCAATCTCTTCGGAATCTTCCATTGATCAATCTTCTTATGATCTCATAAATCATTTTATATGTTGTTGATTTTTCAGATAGCAAATGGATTGAAATCTATTCTGTGGCAAGCAGTAGTGGAATCAATGTTTTTTCAACCTTTTTGGGAAATGGAGACTACAAGAATTTGGGGATAATGACCTGCCTTCAATCATATTGTCCCAAATTCTTTCGTAGTTCTTTGATTAATGCCTGGGATACTCTGCCAATATCTAAAGTAAGGTGATTTATATGTATCTTGTTTCATAGCTAAGATTTCTTTAAAATGTGGATTTCTCTGACAGAAATTAAAAAAAAACATGATTTTTCTAATTTCTCCGGATCCTTTTTCGGTATTTGATCGGAGGAGGCACGGTGGAATAATGGAGAGGAGGCACGGTAGAATAATGGATAGCCAGCTCGGATTGAGGAATCGGGGAGCAGAATTCGAATTCCACTTGAATCCATTACATTCACTTACGTTCTAATACCCTTGGGAATCCTCTTTTTCTCCCTCCAGCTCTGGGTAAATAGCAGGACAGACCGGGATCTATAGCCTTGAATGGCAACTGGTCTACCGCAGAAAGAAATGGCAACCTATGGCGGGAAAAAATCTGCCTCGTCAATCATGTATCGAAAGATACATGATCGCCTAAGCGTGTATCACGCATGGCACATAACTAACTGACTGATCGGAATGTTCACATAAAGCATATCACTACGTTTCTCGATCGATTCACGAGAAATCTCGTAAACATGAGAATCTTGTAGACCTTTCACTAGTGTGGTGAGATTGATTTTCTCTGGGTGCACCGCACTTATATTTCTGTAGCAGGCTCACTGTTCATTATGAAGTGGCATGGACACAAAGCTTTATTAACAACAGGTAAAATTAGAAATTGCATTAAGTCAGATATTTATTTTAATCATTTCACCCCAAGCAAGGCAATAAAGCCGCTAAGGCGCAAGGGGTTACTGAGTGTGAGAGATTATGAGAAAAAAAAGCATTATTAATGAGAGAGAACAATAAAAGAGACATAATTATGACAGTAGATAACGATTGACATTCGTAGATATTTGTCGTTGTCTGTTGAAAATGAAAATGCCGAATAACAATATATTGATTATTGTAAAAGTGTCTTCATTGACAAGACATTGTCTGCGCCAATCGTTTTTAAAAGAACAGATTGATATTTGCATGTTTTTTTTTTATGGCACAAACGTGTTTATCAATGTCTAAATCAGTGGCTCTCAATCGGGGTCCATATAATATTATTGAGTTCCACACAAAAAATAGCAAATTGGGTCAAATTTTTGTGAGCAATTTTGTTATAAATTCATGACGGTCGTCTTCGAGTATAGAATCAGAGGTTAGCAGTGAATATTTCGGAGACAGTAGGAAAGCGTAGTTCAGGTTCGCAGTAGATATCCTGGTAAAAGTAGCAGAGCTTAGTACTTCCTTCTGACATCTTCGCCTGACAAGTTGGTACTGGTCATTCGGGTAGGTTAAACAAAAATTGCCGCCTTTATACACGACGGATAGAATGTTCTGCGGCTTCTGGTTGGTTAACCTTCTATTGGTAGACTATAAAGCGAGTCAAGGCATTTTGACTAACTCACTAGTTACATGATATACACAAAAAACTGTAACAAATTTCACTTCGAAACGATTTTTACAACTGAGAATTGGAATTTCTATAGTAATCTACACCATATTATTTTTTTAAAAATCGGTATCACCCCATGCAATGCGGTAAAGCCACTAAGACAGAAGATGTTACAGGGTGTGAAAGAATAAGACACAGAAACATTAATAATGAGCGGGTAGAAGAAAGATTAATCAGTAGATTTGGATTGACATTGCATTTAAAGCTTTGCAGAAACGTTTGTTAGCTGGAAAACATGGAGCTAGAAGGGAGTTCCATAAACGAGAAGTGCACAAAATAAAACTGTTAGCATAGAATTTACAGTTAAATCTAGCAAACTCAGCTGTAAATTGATATGATCTTGTCACCAGTCTAGTACTGCGCTTAAATTCAAAAAGTCTAGGTACCATGTCGAAGAGCTCATCCGAACAATTACGATGGAAGTATTTATAGGAAAGACACAGAGAAACAACCTAACGGCTGTGGGAAAATGATTGAAGCCGAGTCGCCAGATCAGGACCGATAATATTGCTGATTCTTGTTTGGATTTTATCAAGGAGCTCAAGCTAAATAGGTTCTGAACGATATATAGCAGTAACAGTCTAAGCACTGACAAATGAGAGCCTTATAGATATTTAAGATAGATACTGGAGAGAAAAAATTGTCTCGCACGAGTGAACCAACTTTATTGGCAGCTGACCAAGCAATGGATTCAATATAGTCTTTCCACTTCATGTCAGCCGAGAACGTTAGACCGAGAAGGCGGAACGAGACACTTTCCTGGAGGATAGCATCAGCCATAATGATGGAAGGCAGAGAAGGGTCTCTCAGATGATTAATGGAGAAAAGTTTATTTTTAGATACGTTAAAATAGACAAGCCATCTTTTGCCCCAGTTAAGGATGGTCTTGAGGTCGTGTTGGACACCAGCTGCCATTTTGACCTTTTCGGACTGATGATTCGGTATGATAGATTCTGAATAGCAAAAGTGTCTCGTACGACGCAGTGAACCAACTTTCTTAGTAGGCGACCTAGCAATGAATTCAATATAGTCTTTCCCCTTCATGTCAGCTGTAAATTGATGTGATCTTGTCACCAGTCTAGTGCTGCGCTTAAATTCAAAAAGCCTAGGTACCATAGCGAAGAGTTCATCCGAACAATTACGATGGAAGTATTTATAGGAAAGGCACAGAGAAACAACCTAACGGCTGTGGGAAAGTGACTGAAGCCGAGCCGCCAGATCAGGGCCGATAATATTGCTGATTCTTGTTTGGATTTTATCAAGGAGCTCAAGGTAAATAGTAGGGGCTCTAGACCATATATAGCAGTAATAGCCTAAGCACTGACGAAGGAGAGCCTTATAGATATGTAAGATAGATTCTGCAGAGAAAAATTGTCTTGCACGAGTGAATCAATTTTCTTAGCAGCTGCCCTAGCAATGGATTCAATATAGTCTTTCCACTTTATGTCGGCTGAAAACGTTAGGCCGAGAAGGCGTAACGAGACATGTAGAATCTTCCACAACAAGCCAGTTAACCCCTGCTAGAAAATGCACTATTCCTGTTGTAATTTTCACCATCACAATCTTACAAAATATATAACAAGCATTCATTGGTTAATCTACTCAAAACTAGCTCAATGATTGGTCAGTTCCGACCAATCAGATATCCTGCACGCGAGGAATGAAATTTCCTGCGTTTTCGTCCGGGGCATCCCACGTGGTACAACAAAATTATAAAAGCAGAACACGTGTAAACTTCCTCGTGTTTCTTTTCATTAATCTCTCTCGCGTCTCATTCCTTGCTACCAAGATGTAATCTTCAAAAACTCCCGTCTTAACTAATGCAGTCAGATGTTAAAGACCATTACCAACATTCACGCAAGTACGAACTCTGAAATCTATTCTGAACTTTTACCAACTTGTACAATACACAATTCCAAACATGCTAAAGAAACTTTAATCTTCTAAACTACAGTTTAATAATTACTTTCACTTTATGATCTCAAATACAAATATTACCTAGTCTAAGAGACATAACTCTATCACACCGTCAGCTCTTATGCTTGTACACCAAACACTAATAAATTCAATTGTTACGTTTTGAAACAGTATGTTTATGAATCATTATTATCAATCTTGTATTAATAGTTGTGGATGGAAGATTATTGAACAGACAGAATTTTAAGCCTTCTGATAATTCAAACTTTCTATTTCTCTCCAACACACAATCATCACACATCCGAGTCATTTTCGTGGAGGTTAGCATCAGCCATAATGATGGAAGGCAGAGAAGAGTCTCTCAGATGATTAATGGAGAGAAGTTTAGTTTTTGAAACGTTAAAATTGACAAGCCATCTTTTGCCACAGTTAAGGATGGTTTTGAGGTTGTGTTGGACACCAGCTGCCATTTTGACCTTTTCGGACTGATCAGTTTTACTATCGATATGTATGATAGATTCTGAATAGAAAAAGTGTCTCGTACGACACAGTGAACCAACTTTCTTAGCAGGTGACCTAGCAATGGTCTCAATCAAGTCTTTCCACTTCATGTCAGCTGTAGGTGACCTAGCAATGGTCTCAATCTAGTCTTTCCACTTCATGTCAGCTGTAGGTGACCTAGCAATGGTCTCAATCTAGTCTTTCCACTTCATGTCAGCCGAGACGCAACGTGTCTCTTTCATGGAGGTTATCATCAGATAAGATACTAAAAATAAAAATCTTAATCTCGTGGAAAACGAGATCAAGCGATGTAAGTTAGCATCCCTTTTACTCTACTGGATCTTTTGATTGTAGAAGTTGAATATAAACTCAGAAATATATATATATATATATATATATATATATATATATATATATATATATATATATATATATATATATATATATATATATATATATATATAAATGTTATGTAAAGATTATAATTTATTTTGTAAAAGTAATTTAATATATTAATAATAAATAATAATTTTAATTTTAAATTGCGAAAAGGTGTGATTTTCGACTATCTAACATCGATGGAGCCGAAAGTTAATCAACGTCACCAGATGCCTTGATCTATCCCCTATCCTTCTCTTCATCCTTTCCTCTATCACTCCTATTTATCTCGCTCCAACTCTCTGTAACACCTTGCATGCTAGTGGCTTTCTGCCTTGCTTGGGGCGAAACGCTTAAAATAAAATAAAATAAAATAAAATAAAAACCCTCGTAGAACAGTATCAGTTGCAGCAATCTGATTGAATAGATCTGCACATTCTAAAATATTTATTAATTACTCACATATTTTAAAATGGTTTATTGGGAGTTATTTTACTAGTGCACATAAATATTCCATAGAATTTAGTTTATATTCATTAAATTAGCTTTACTTCAAAATAAAGCATAAACATTTATTATTTCTATAATACAATTCATAAACTTATCTATTAGTAAAAAAGGAAATAAGATTTCATTGAATTGTTACGGAGGTCCGCAAAAAAAAAAAAAAAAAAAGAAAAAAATTAAGAATAAAAGTGGCTCATGGGTAAAAAAAAGTTTGAAAACTATTAGTCTAAACATTTGTCTATATATCACCGTTTCTCAGATCAATGATTAAAAATTG